GGGTTAGAGACAAAGACACTTACATATAAGCACTAGAGTTCACATGTAATCATTTAAGACATTGCATCTTAGAATGTGTGGACCCAACGTTTTTCACTTATTACCTGGCGACTGTTACTAACATTCTGAAAAGCAGAGAAATAATAAAGAGTAGAATAGGGAGTAAAATATTTAAGCCTTTAAAGGTAAAACTCAGCATTATCACCTCTAAGTGCAGAATCAAATGCCTCTTGTTTAGTTACTAGCATTTTATAAGGCAGTCTGTGCTTGTACCTTGACAAGAGATTGTAAGAAAAACATACAGAAAAGAAACAGTATTTCACATTTCATTTGGATGTATGTTTGAGGGACTCAGTATTTGCCATTTGTATATAAGTCTCATAAACAAAATGTCCTCAGCTAATTTCTAGGTTTGGACTGGTTTTTAAATATATGTGTGGGTTGGAATAATAGAACAAACTGTGTTAGTGTATTTGTAGGTTTTCAGAAGACTTGTTTTGCAGTCTAAAAGACATGAGGTATGATTCTCATCTCCTTCCATCTATTATAAATTGACCTTTTTGTTTACATAGCTTCTTCCTGGGCTGTCCTTGTTGAGATGCTTCATTTTCCTTGATTCTCACTACATCCCTGGTGCTTAGGACTTGGAGTAAGAGAAGTATCCTCATTTTGCAAATTGAGAAATGAAAGTTTTGTATACATGAGAAAAAGTATTTCTCTTAGTACATCTTCATCTGTCTGGTTCCTTCCTGATTTTTGGTCTTTAAAAAAAAAACAAAACAAGTACTAGAAGCACATATATGCTCTGTTGCTTAATTTCCTGCCTTTGGAAAAATAATCTTTTCTCTAAGTATTTGAATAGCCTGAGAGAATGCGGCATTTTTCTAAGTGTTGGGGGTAGAGGTAGATTATGAAGACATTTGGACCAGATTATTTTTTATTAAGCTTCAAAAACTATTGATATATTTTTATTGTTTTGGAATTTCATTTTACTGAATATTGCTTGACTCTTAATTGGACCTGGAATGGTAGTAGGTGTTAGGACTCGAATGATAGAAAGAGCGTAGACATCAAGCCAAGAAAGCCGGCCCTCAACCCACTTCTGTGACCTCCTGATGGAAATAATTGACAAATTGGTTTCCAAGTCTCTGTCTTCTTTTTTTTTTTTTTTTTTTTTTTTTTTAAGAGTTTTTTGCTATAGGGTGTATGTGCTTGCTGGAGAGACAGAGAAAGAGACAGAAAATGAGAAATCACCCCCCCCCCAGGGGGGAAAGCCACTCCCCGATCCCTTCTCCTCTGTTGTCCTCTCTGAATTTTGTGCATGCTTGCACATGTGCCTGGTGTGAATTTTAAACTGCTGGGTCCAGGACTTGAACCATGGTTGACTACATGGGAGTCCAGCGATGTAACCATTACACCATCTGCTGGTCCCCCAAGTCTCTGTTTTCTGATCCCTGCAATGGAGAGAGCTATAGTGTCCATCCTTCCCTCTTAAAAGCTGTCATGGGAAACCAATGAAGATCGTATGTGTATAAGCGCTTTGTACAGTGTTGTGTGTTATTGTATAATAAAATATGACATATTAGAGGTGAAGATTTTGCTTTTGTGAAAAACCTTAAGGCATTTTAAAGGAAGTGTAATTTAAGGTTTGTCTAGCTAAAGGTATTTCCTTCTAATGGAACCAGTTTTATGCTAAAAACTCAGACTTACATGTAAAAAATATCTTTCTTTCAAACAGTTTGCTAAAGAATTGTGAGTTTTCTTAATATTTCCTCTGAAGAGTTATTTTTTTCAGTAACACTGTTAATTTAATTTTTTTCTTAATGTAGTTTTCTTGATGTAATAGAATTTGACCTATAAATTTAATTCCTGTTCTTAAGAATTTATAACCTAATGGGAAATCAACACAGAAAAATACATTAACATTAAAATGTATACAGTAATGTCAGAGTGAGACAGTGGGTCTTTGTTCATCCCATAGGGTTTTTAAAAAAAGATGAGGCTAATTGGGAAAATCTTTTGAAGAAAATGTTTCTTGAGGTTTGACTTCAAGATAAGTAAACTTTCTCAGTAATAACTAGAAGTGAATATACAGGTTTGTACTTTTTGTTACTGTTATTGCTAGAGGGCTTGTGTGCTTGTGCGGGAGAGTGGGGTGAAGAATGGAGCAAAGTGCCTCTCAATAGAACCTAGTCATGGCACAGTCCCTTCTCCATTTCTTTATTCTGATGGGATTTGGGGCATATGCACACACACACACACACACACACACACACTCGCTGTGTACTTTTCAAGCTGTGGGCACCACAGTTCGAACCGCAGTTGATTATAAGGGATTCAGCTCCCTTGACCACTAAATTATAGGGCCAGCTCTCTCTTTGTGTTTTTTTTTTTTTTTAATTTGCCAGACGGCACTTGTGCCTGCCAGAGAGAGAGGGGTGGGGTAAGTGTAGCGAGAAAGCACCCCCCTCCATGGGGAATGGTGAAGCTGCAGTCCCTTCTCCATTTCTCTGTCCTTTTGGGGTTTTGGACATGTACGCACACCCACAGTTGGCCAGATGAGATTCAGCCATTTGAACTATCATGCCACTGACTAACACTGACTAATTTTTTTTTTTTTTTTTTTGGTGCTATAGGTGCATGCACTTGGCCAGGGAGAGATGATGGAGAGGGGGAAAGTGAGAAATCACTCCCCAGGGGACATATGGGGGGGAAGGACAGCCACACCACAATCCATTCTCCTCTTGGGATTTTGGGCACACGTACATACTACTGGGAGTGTTTTTCAAACCTCTGGATCTGGGATCAAGCTGCAGAGTCTCAATGTGGGATCCAGTGCCTTAACCACTGTGTCACCTTCTAGCCCCCCAACCTATGTATTTTTTTCTCTTTTTTTTGAGAAGTTTTTGTCTTAGAGTACATGTGCTTTAGGGTGCATGTGTTTGCTGGAGAGAGAGAGAGAGAGAGAGACACAGAGACAGACAGAGACAGACAGACATAGTGAGAGGGAAAGTGAGAAATCACCCCCCTGCCCAGGGGAATGGCCACACTGCAGTCCTTTCTCCTCCATTTTCCTCCCAGGATCTTGGGGCATGCACACATATGTGTGTGGAATGATTTTCAAGCTACTGGGTCCAGGATTTGAACTGTGTGGTTGGCCATGTGGGAGTCCAGCGGCATAACTGTTATGCTATCTGCTGGCCCCCGGTATTTTGTTTTTTTAATGTTAAAAAAATTTGTAAACAGTCTACATATGCTTTTATGAAATTGATTAAATTCTGGAGCAATCATAGGAATAGTAGGCAGCCATTACAATTAAAATTGTCAGACATGGGAAGATGTCCTGAATATAGTTTTAAGCGAGGAATAATGTTTATGGAGCGCTGTGCTTCCATTTTAGTCTATGCATACACATCACTGTATTTATAATTTTACATTGGAAAATATTTGGGATAATAGACACGTTTTTCTTTTAGCATTGTCTCTAAATATATGTATGATTTGTTTTTAAAGCTGTATCTCACAGTAAAAAAATAAAGGCATTGGGAACCAGCAGTTAGCGTAATGGCTATGTCGCTGGACTCCCACGTAGTTGACCGCGGTTCGTGTCCCGGACCCGGTGGCTTAAAACTCACGCCGGGCGCGTGTGCGTGTGTGCCCAAGATCCCGAGAGGAGAATGGAGGAGAAGGGATTGCAGCGTGACCATCCCCCCGGGGGGTGATTTCTCGCTTTCTGTCTCTATGTCTCTCTCTGTCTGGCGAGCGCACGCACCCTACAGTGAAAATCTCTCTCTCAAAAAAAAAATACATTAAGAGGAATTGAGTAAGAGGAGAAAAGGTTGATATTTAAACACATGGGCAGCTTAAGCAAAGGCCTAGAGTAGTCCAGGAGAAAAATTAGAAACTAGAAATATGTAGAGAGAAAGAAAGCTAGAGAGATCTGAATTACCATTATACCTTGTATAAATATCTTCTGTCTAAATATTTGTGTGTGTGTTTTTTAAATGAGAAATCAGAAGAATTGGTGATAAAGTTTTTTTTTAAAGAATTATTTTATTGGACTTTATTCTATTTATTTATTTATTTTAATTTGACCAGAGAGGGATAGCAGTGGGGGATGAGGGGGTGGGGCAGAGTGAGAAAACAAGCCTCCAGATCTAGGACTTGAACCATGGTTGGACAAGTTGGAGTCCAGCGCCCTTAACCACCATGCCACCTGCTTGCCCCGATGATAAAGTTTTTCTAATGCAACTTTCCAGTGAGGCTGAGGCCATGGGCTTGACCTTTGGCACATGCCCATCCATATTTTAATGAATACCATATGCAATTTCTCCTCCTCACCCTCCCCTGCCACATCTTATCCCTTTACAATTTGCTATCTTAGGAACAGTCTCATGTACTTTTTTGGATTTGCTTCTCTTTGTTGCAGCTGAGGAATGAGAAGAGTATCTAAAAGGTATCTTTTAAAGATACCTTTAAAGAGTATCTAAAAGTCTGTATCTTTAGCACTCTTGGTCAAGCGTGCCTATCAATAGTATTTGAAAATCTTGTTTAATGACTTTCTATCTTCCTATGATACGGTAAGGAAAAGGATCCTCTCCATGTATAAAGATTATGTCCGGTTGGGGTGACATTTTTCTAACGACATAAAATGATAATTTAATCTTGACAGAATAGTCCATTTGAAATACCTGCTTTGTGTTGTCATTTCTCTAAGGCTTCATTTTTGTCTTTCTTCCCTAAAATGTTTCAGGCAGAATTGCTCAGGACTTTGGTAGATTTCTTGCAAAATAGCATGCCTTAACATCACAAAAGAAGTTTTGCTGATAAATGTTATTAGCTGTAAAGAATTATGAGATACAATGCATTTTCGTTTGGATTGCACATTTGATTATTATTGTATTTTAATAGGTCTAAAGAGTGTTTTGAATCCTCTGAGAGCAGTACTAGTTTAATTCATCATGAGTGAAATAAATTTTTTTGTTTGTTTCTTTTGCTAGGTTTCAGCATTAAAAACAATGGCCAGTCAGGGAGGCCCCAAGTATACTCTGTCACAGCAGCCTTGGGCACAACCAGGTATTCAACTTTTACTATTTTAGATTCCTTTTATAGGATGTTACTCATTTGTACTTATATAGTCCTTGCAGTGGCAGTTTGGAGTTGGTTTCCTACTCGCTCTGGGTTACTACGATCTGAGTTAATGTAAGTTTCAGTTTGGAGCTGATAGGTCTTTTTTTTTTTTTTTTTTTTTTAGGGGTTTTTTCTACAGGGCCGGGGTGCCCCCCAGGAGAGAGATAGAAAGATAGAAAGCGAGAAATCACCCCCCAGGGGGGATGGCCACACCACAGTCCCTTCTCCTCCATTCTCCTCTCGGGATCTTGGGCACACATGCACACGTGCCCGGCGTGAGTTTAAGTCACCGGGTCCGGGACTCGAACTGCGGTTGACTACATGGGAGTCCAGCAACATAGCCATTACGCTAACTGCTGGTCCCTGAGCTGATAGGTCTTAATTGGCTAGCACTATTTGCATCTCAATAAGTATTCCAAGGAAGTAAGAATTACAAATTCTTTTTTACCAATTTAAAAATAAAATGTGGCTTGGATGGAAACACTTTGAGTGTGCTGATTTCTGTGTACCCACTAGTCATTGCATTGAACTTTGATGCAAACTCTTTGTTAGATGGGATGAAATTATGGAGAGAGTACACCTGTTTTCAAGTATATAGAGAAATATTGGGTTACCATTTGTTCCACATTTTATCTAAGTTGCATTCCTCTGTTGACGATTTAGAATGTTTGGGGGAAAAATTGTAAGAATCGAGATGTCAGTTGAGGGTTGGCAGGCAGTATCGTTATCTGATTGGCAGATACATTTGAGATGTTTCCAGTTTTACTCTTTTTTAAATGTAATTTTTTTTTTTTTTTTTTTTTTTGTGTGTGCTAGAGGGTTTTGGTTTTGTTTTTTTGGGGGGAGATCTTTAGCATTAGATGTTAGACATTTAAAAATCACAGCCATGTGGGTTATTTTAGGTACATTCTATGACATTTTACATTGCCATTAAAACATTTTGTTAATTGATATTTCTGGCCAACCCCTGCCCCGTAATTGTGATAGAGATCCTTTGAAGTCAAAAAAGGGCAAATGGTAACAAAGTCACTGTTTTAATTATAAGTAAGCTGTTTTCAAGTGGGAGGGCAGCTTTTCACATATAGTGAGAGAATGATTTTGGCTTCACATCCATAAAAACTGGGTGGTCTATACAGGCACCTAATTGGGAATCAACTTTTTAATATGATTGGTTTTCTGTATTGAAAGAATGTTAAGTCTGTCAAGTATTCATTTTCTTTGGGAAAAAGGATTCGAGCCATTCTAAGCTTCCCAAATTTTCAGTTATTATACATGTATCAGGTTAATTTGAAGGTGAGTCAAGGTCTGTAAATGCAGTAAATTATCAGTTGTCTTTAAAAGGATGACAGGATTTTATTTTAAAGGTTCCTCATGTGAACTTAGATGGTGGAAATACAGGTTTGAATTGATTTCTTTTATTGCAAAGTAAATATTATAACGTGCTTTGGTTTACTGTGATAGAGACAGTGAACTTTCTACTGTCTAATTTTAAACATTTGTATTTTGTATGAGATTGAAATCAGCAACATCTTTGCTGAAAGAGAGCACATAGTTCGTTCCAGAAAATCGGATTCTTTTACTGACAATGCTGGAAATTGTAATCACAGCCTGGCCTGGTGTTAACCACCTATTCTGATGTCTCACAGTCAAGCTGACTTTTCAGTCCGAAACAGCGTGGCTCTTGAAGGAGTTCTGATGATCTCTGGATTAAGGGGAGCCTTTGGCTCACATTTTCAGTTGCTTTATAGGGCTTACTTAGAAATAGGAGCTGATTTTTATTTTGAATGTTTGTGTAAACAAAACTCTTAGGTGCAATAAATCTTTCTTAAAATAGGTAGAAACCAGTAAATAGGCATGGGCATATTTATTACAGCTAATCCCAGGGGCTTGATGCATAATTAATGAATTGTTCTTTCCCTTTTGGAAAACCCACTCTCACAGAATAGGGGCTGTCAGTTTCTTAAGTGGAATTGTAATAGAATTCATAGTGTTAGGTATACTGTGCTCTTAAACGTTACTAGAATTGTCATTAGTAAAGCAGGAGTAGTCAAAAGGAAGCTGACAGGACAGATCGAAATAGGGCTTGCATTTTGTCATTTTAACCCATTTTGTTTCTAAGTGAGGCGATCTTAGTGAATATAGCAGTAGTAGTGCAGTTTATCTTAGAGTTGAATCTTCTGTCCTATTTAGCCACAGTGTAGGTGTCAAGTTGGTTTTTCTTGATACGTGAAGCCCATACTTAACTGTCAAAGAGAGATTTTTGGGCCTCTTGGTGTAGGAGCATGAAGGCCTGCCTAGGACGTGTCTTGGGACCCTCTGTCCTAGAAGCCTAGTGTAACTGGTTCATGCAGCTTCGGTGAGCTTCTGAGGAATCATTTCATGATTAGCATCCAGGAGAGTAAATTTTAAGTTGGATCTAATTTGTTAATTTACTCTGGGAAGTATACCTTTTTAGGGATTAGAGAACAATTTACTCATTAGCCTTGTATGCCCTTTTTCTGAAAACTGATGTGAGTGATCCCTGAAGTATCTTAGTGATGGAAACGTGTCTTGAAGGAATTTTCATCTATTTTATGAAAAATGAACAATTCCTGGATTGTTCGTTCATTCTTCTTGAGAGTATTAGTGCTTTCTTGTTCTGCTTTACTGCAGCCCTCCTCAGTTAAAAACAATTTTTTAGATGGTATTAAATTTGAACCACGAGAAGATAGGAAGTTAAAAGTAATCCTATTCTCCACCTCTTAACTGGTCCTTCTCCCAAGGTAATTCATATTACAGTTTCTTTCCCAAAATTGTTTATGTATGTACCAGCATATGTGAACTAGAAGTTTTACCCAAATGAGATCGCACTATACTCATTGCTTTTTTTCACTTATTAAGTATATTGGGGTCCTTCCTGTACCAGTTTATCCAGCTCTATCTGGTCTGCTTAATGCATGCATAGAATACATCAATACAGAGTGTTTTATTTAGTAATTCTATTATGGATATTTAAATTATTTTCAGTTTTTGTTTTTCATATGCTTTTTAAAAAGTCCATGTATACATGTATTTTGGTATTTCGTGAGTATATTCATAGGGTAAATTTCCAGCAGTGGAAATGTTAAGAGCAGAGTATGTGTATTTTCAGTTTTGCTAGATATTAGTTAATATCCCTCCAAAGACATCAAACCATTTTATACTCCCATCAGCAGTAGACCAATATGCCTATTTTCCCATATCCTTATCAAACCTGGATATCTATAATTTTAGTAATTTTTCCCCACTCTGTAAATATCTCTTGGTTAATTCGTGTTCTATTAATTATGAGTGAAGTTGAACATTTTAAAAATTATTATATTAATCCTCTTTGTAGATTTCTATTCTATTCCCTTTCTTATAATACCATATGAGAATGTAAGAAAGGGATGTTTGACTCCACTTAAATACATATACATTTTCTGAATGATCTAAGGAAGATGAGAGAATCTCTTACTGTGAGTCAGTTCTCAAATGAATAAGCTCATTCACTATGAAACAATTCTTACTAGTGTCTCTCTTTGAAAGTGACTGTTTTTCTTTTAAACCTTATCTCTTATCTCCAGATTCCAAAGACATATATTACAGCCCCCTTGAATGTCCTGAAACACACTGGGGAGTTCTTTTGCTTCCTTAGCCTTTGGGATTAGAATTTTATATGTAGTGGCTAAAAAATGAACATGTGTAGGATTTGTGATTAAACTTGATAAATAAACAAGAAAAATGAAAGGAATTCTTTGGGGAAATAAAGATTCTTGTCTTTTGCTATTTTTCTCTCCTTTTATTCTCCCCTGAGTTGAAATGGAAATCCTTCTTCTCTTTCTCTTTGTGACGCTAACGAGGTTAATTTCTTTCCAGCAAAGGTCAGTGACCTGGTGACAACTGCCTATAAGACAATAAAAGCAAAGCTGCCTGTGACATTGAGAAGTATGTCATTGTACCTATCCAATAAAGATACCGAGTTCATCTTGTTTAAACCCGTCAGGGTGAGTGTCAACGGTAATTTATTTGAATGTTAGCCAATGACTTTAAGTGTTCATACCTCACCTACTATTTTATTCTCCCTATAGACATTTAAAAATGTTGGTATATGATTTTTTTTTTTCAAGAAGTTTTTGCTATAGGGTGCATGTGCTCATCAGAAAGACAGAGAGAGATAGACTGAAAACGAGAAATCACGTCCTGGGGGGATGGCCACGCCCACGCCGCAGTCCCTTCTCCTCCGTTCTCCTCTCGGGATCTAGGGCACACACACATGCACCTGGCGTGAGTTTAAACCACCAGATCCGGGACTCGAACTGCAGTCAACTACATGGGAGTTCAGCAACATAGCCATTATGCCAACTGCTGGTCCCGGTATATGGTTAATAATCACTGTGATTCTTGAAAGGCTTACAGAGCCTGCATCTGTCTAATTTTATCTTTTTAACCCCCATTTTCACTTTGTCTCTTTTTTTTTTATGTTACCATTGAAAGTAGAAATTAGTAACTGAACAAAAACCAGATACTTACATTCCATGTGCTCAACACTTGGGAGAGCAGCATTCTAGGAGTTATGTCCATTTTACTGGTGAGAAGTGGAAATAAATGGCTTGCAGTGGCCACCAAGGGATTAGATGTCAGAGCAAATTTCGGACTCATAACTTCCAGTTCTGTGTTGAGCTCACATCTTTACCCAAGGCATTGGTTGATTTTTAAAGTGCATTTTATGTGCCTGGGAACTTTATTATCTTTTGTGTAAGAAATTGCTGCTGAAGACTTTTATTCTCTGGAGGGACAAGGCTTGTTAGAGTTCAGTTTTTCCAGGAAATGTTATCAGTTAAGTCTTCATCAGCTTGTGCTAGCATGTGAAATACGAAGTGCAAATTATACATCTTTGGTGGTAATCTCATGAAAGATACATTTCTTCTACTTGTCTTGGCAGCTACCATTGCGATTTAGCATTCCTAGTGCTTCATGTTCAAGACAACTGTGTATGTTTATTGCAGCTCATTTAAAATGGTCTCTTTCTGTTTCTTTCTAAGAATAATATTCAGCAGGTCTTCCAGAAGTTCCATGCTCTGTTAAAGGAAGAGTTCAGCCCTGAAGACATCCAGATCATTGCTTGTCCGTCTATGGAACAGGTAATTCATAGACGGAAGATCCTTCTTAGTTTCATGCCCCCTAAGGTGTTTTGCTTAGATAATGTCTTTGAGCAAATACGCTTTTAGTTTTAATTTAGAAAATTGTGCATGATTGGGACCAGCAGATGGCATAATGGTTACATTACTGGACTCCCATGTAGTTGACTGCGGTGGCTTAAATTCATGCTGGGCATGTGTGCGTGTGTGCCCAAAATACCGAGAGGAAAATAGAGGGGAAGGGATTGTGGTGTGGCCATCTCCCCCCCCGGGGGAGTGACTTCTTGCTTTCTATCTTTCTGTCTCTGTCTCTGTCTCTCTGGCAAGCACATGCACCCTATAGCAAAAATCTCTTTTAAAAAAAGCTTATTGTACATTATTTTATTCTGCTGAGCAATAGAAACTTTGAAACTTGCTCTCTCAAATTTTGGGGGGATAGTTTTAGAATTTTCAGTTGCTTTTTAATCCTTTCTGATGTTAGAAATTTGTATATTTAGTATGAATGACCTATTTGTGAAAGATTTAGTGACATTTCACTTGCTGAATGATTTTGTTTGAAATATGCATAATAAGAACCCAAATTTCAAATGTAGAAAAAATATGGAAGCTATTCTAGGGATTAAAGTAGATGCTAGTAGTAATTCTATTTTTTTCTCTTGTTCCTAAACTCAATAAAACTAAATATAGGACCAATCTGTGTTTATCATCATTCATTTATTCAATTCAGTTAACACATTTTTATGGCATACCTCTTATGGATTAGGAATAGCTTGGTGCTGTGGAGAACATTTTATTTCTGGTCATAATTTTAGTTAGCTTAGAAATTCAGTATATGGTAAAGATTAGTGAATTTGGGGGCAAGCAGTAAGCCGAGAGCCTGGTTGGAGTGGGTAAAGGACTGGAGAGAGGACCTAGAGACGGTGAGTGTGACAACTGTAATGGGGAGGAGGAAGATGAGAGGGTAGCTGGAGGGAGAAATGGGGTCATTTTTTAATTGAGAAATAATTCATATCCATAAATTTGACTCTTGTAAAGTGTAGGCTTCAGTAGTTTTTAGTATATTTACAGAATTGTGTAGGCATCACAACTAATTCCAGAACATTCTTTTTACTCCTGAAAGGAACTTTTTAGTCATTAGCAAATTCCACATTCCCTCTTTCTACTAATTTACTTTTTGTTTCTATGAATTTGCTTATTCCGGCTGTTTCATTACATGGAATCATACCATACATGTCCTTTCATTACTGGCGTTTTCATATAGCATGTTTTCAAGCTCATCCATGATCCATGGTGTAGCATGTATCAGAACTATATTCCTTTATATTGGTGTATATATAGTCCTTTGGATAGATGGTAATTTTTTTTTTTTTTGAAGGTTTTTGCCATAGGGTGCATGTGGTTACCAGAGACAGAGACAGTGAGAGGGGAAGTGAGAAATTATTTCTGCAGGGAGTATGGCCATGCTGTAATCCCTTCTCCTCCTGGGATTTTGGGCAAACATGTACATGTACCCTGCATGATTTTCAAGCTGCCAGGTCTGGGACTCGAACTGCGGTCAGCCATGTGGGGGTCCAGTGCCTTAACCACTACACCACCTGCTCGCCCACAGATGGGTAATATTTTAAAAGATCTCTCTGTAGTTGTAGGGTTGTATACTTAAAATACTTTCTGTAAGTCATTTCTATGTGGCTACCTCTAGCTTGATAGGTACTTGAGTTTGGGTTCAGTATTTAAAGACCCCTCCCTATTTTATTTCTTTATTTTTAATTGGATTAAAGTCTATTTCACTTTGTCATCCAAATTTCCTTTTTCTCCAGTCATAGTCAGTTGGCTGAATGTCGATGTGTAGAGTAGCTGGATCATACGACTAAGTCAATATATGGCAGCACAATTTATTTTTTAAGTTTCTTTTATGTGTTCAAACTTACAGGAAAGATTCAAGAATGGTATAAGGAACTCCCACATACCCTTTACCAAATTTACACTTTGCCCCATTTGTTTTATCATTCTTACTTTCTCCTTTTCCCTCTTTTCTACCCTCTTAAATTAATTGAGAGGAGGGTGGGAGATAGTGCTCACTTGTTCCTAAATACCTGAGTGTATTTCAAGGGCACAGGAAGTCCCCTTCCACCCAGGAACAGCTCTCAAAAGAAGAAATGCAGTGCTGATGCTGTTACTTAACCCACAGTTCACGTGTCCTCAAGGTCCCAATCGCGACCTGTATAGCTGTATAGACGTTTTCTCCCAGTGCAGGCCCAAGTCCAGATTCAGCCTTGCTGTCTGTGTCAGGCCTGTTTAGGTTCTTTTTTTTTTTTTTTTTTTTTTGTTTTGCTATGGGGCATGTGCATTTGCCAGAGAGACAGAGAGATAGAAAGTGAGAAATCATTGCCTAGTTGCGACGGCCACACTGCAGCCCCTTCTCCTCCATTCTTTTGTTGAGGTTTTGGGCATGTGTGCACATGTGCCAGGTGTGAGTTTTAAGCTGCTGGGTTCGGGACTCAAACCGTGGCCGACTATATGGGAGTCCAGCAACATAACCATTATGCCATCTGCTGGTTGGTTCTTTGGGTTCTTTTAACCTATAATGGTTCCACAGTCTTTCTTGATCTTGACAGCCAGTGAGTCTGTAGACTGTCCCTCAACTTGGCATTGTCTCTTTCCTTGTGATTAGATTGAGGTTTTGATTCAGGAAAAGCACAGAGGTGATTTCGTATCCTTCTCCTGGCAGCACACATTTATAAAAGATATCAAAGGTGGTGATTTTAACTACCAGACTAGATGGACTGTATATGAGGGTTCAGTGCTGGGTTCATTTATCTGGTGTTCTCCAGGACCTGGTGATGATCTGTCATTCCCTCTGTCGCTGTGAACACCCAGCTCTGAGGTCCTAGCCTTCCATTATGGAGTGGGAAGTTGTTTCTGTGGTCATTTGGAGTTAGTGTATGAACTGGAATTCACTCATTGTGTCTGTTCTTGTGGGTTTAAGAAAGGCATTTAGGGCCAGCTGGTGGCCTGGAGACTAGATCCCCCATGGCATACCAGGTCTCGGACGTGGCAGCTTGAGAAACAAGCTGGGTGTGAGTGTACATGCATGTTTGTGTGCGTCCGCGCGCCCAAAATCTTGAAAGAAGGGAGAGATGGAGGAGAAGGATCGTGGCATGACCATCCCCCATGGGGAGTGCTTTGTTGCTTTCCTTCTCTCTCTGGTATTTCCCCTCTCTCTCTGGCAAGTGCATATGCCCTCTGGCAAGTTTTTTAAAAAGTCATTTAAAGAATACAACTTGGGGGCTGGCAGGTGGTGTGATGGTAAAGGGCACTGGACTCCCACATGGCCAAGTGCGGTTTGAGCCCCTGACCTGGCGGCTTGCTTTCTCACTTTCTTTCTCTCTCTCTCCCCTTCCCTCTCTTTGGTTAAATTATAAATAAAGAGAATACAATTTATATACAATTCTCCCCAAATATTCTGCATAGCAAAAGGTGCAATTGATTATGTAGGTGAATTTCTGCGATTTCTCAGTGTGTGTATGTACTTTTAGCCATCATCCTCACTGACATTAAATGACTCGAGGTCCGCCTGGGTGATGGAGTGTAATTCCCCACAGCGCCGTTAGTGCTCAGCGCCCAGTGGCTGCCTCAGGAATAGACCCAGACTGTGGGCCAGTTTGTATTTTATGGCCATGTTTACAGGTCTCTTAAAAACCAAAATCCCAGGAGGAGACTGAAGGAGAAGGGATTGGGTTTTGGCCATTCCTTTGGGGTTGATTTCTCACTTTCCCCTTTTCTGTCCATCTCTGTCCCTCTCTGTCTCTCTCTGCTGAGTGCATTCCCCTATGGGAAAAACCTGGAAAAAAAAAACAAAACTTTTTTCTCATTCTGTATTAAACACTCTATCAGGTTTTCTTTCTTTTCTTTTTTTTTAAGAATTGTTTTATTTAATTTTATTTATTATTATTATTGTTTAATTTGACCAGAGAGAGAGGGAGGAGAAAGTGAGAAAGCAAGCCACCGGTTCCAGGACTGAATTGTGGTCCAGGGCCTCAACCATCATGCCACCTGCTGGCCCCACCTAGTTTTCTGCAGAATGGCTATTCGCACACAACTAACTTGGCTTTCTTCCTTTGTTTCAGCTGAACCTCCTGCTCTCCGTTTCTAAATAAGCTTGCCACTCTGATTGTGCATGCAAACGGTGGGGCTGAGAAGTCTTGTAGCCTGAGGACACCAAGGAGGACTAGGACACTGCTCAGTGCTGACTGCAGAACGCTGTATAAGCAGAGTGTTAAAAGATGGGTGTTTCCCTTTCAAAAACATCAAAATGCCAAAGATTAATCAGTGAGTGGTGATAACTGCCTTGTTTAAATGTCCTAAATGTAAGTTTTTAGGAGGTTAACTGTGGCCAGCCTGCAGTGAGATGCTTCTCTGGAAAACATGTGCAATGAAAATAGGTTACAGTAAGTAGTGCAGAAGAACTTTATGGAAATCTAGCCAACTAGAAAGCTTCTAAGGGTAAGATTTGCTAATATGCGCAACACTGCAATACTTTTAACCACCCAGCATTCCACGGTGACTGTTTTTTTTTTTTTTTTACTTCCAGAGATGTTATTTCTACACTCTATTTAATGTAATGTTTCTCCTATCATTTTGAAGTTTAGTTTGGACTACTCCAAACACATTCTACTTTCCTGGGAATTCAGGGTGTTATCTCTGTGTTTGATGTGAAAGTAGTTTAAAGATGCAGGGAGCTCATGTGAGGTCCCAGTATCTGTGCTTGCATTGCTCAGGTGAAGAATGTTCAAAAGCGGGGAGCTGCAGCCCCTCCTGATAGAAATGCACGCGCTCTTTAATGAGGATCTTCATGGGAGAATAGTCAGTGTTTGCGAGTGGGAAGTACCAATGAAGGTGATTTAAATATGGCGCATAAAGGAGAGAAGGAAACCTGATGAATAGTGTATCTCGTGAGCAAAGGTTAGGGTTACCAGCCTCCGTATACTGCCTTTGGCCTTGCGGTTCTTTGAAAAGCGAACACTTTGCCGTCCCCTGTCTGTTCTGTGCTGTGAACCAGCCGTGTGAACTCCAGCCCTGTAACAGCAGAATACATTTATCACCAACATGGGGATGCGAACACTGCCCACACCTCAAACTACCACACTGTGTCAGGGCTCATAAACTCAATGATGCACATCTATGCATTGTCCTGCAAATTCTTATTTCCTGATTGATTGGTTTTTACCTCTAGTGTTATAGTATGTGTAGCCTCCTACCTAGCTCAGAAACACTTGTGAGTTATTCAAATGCTGGTCTAGAGATGGGACGCTCCCGAGAGTTCTGGACTGGAGCCAGTGGGCCCGGTGGTGCAGTTGGTGCCTGTGACTCATTCTGCACAACGTAGGGGCCTTTCTCCCACCCCTAGGACAGATGGCTCCACCTCATGTAGGGAGGTTACACATCTCGGTGTCTGCTGTTTCTAACGGGTCACTTGTTTTTCACTCCGCTTGAACTGGCGGCCGACGTTGCTTGATAGGGCTTTAGTACTCTCTGTGTGGGGAAAGTAGGAGGTGAGAGGGTCCATATTCATTCTTTGCCATGAAACGAATGCATTGGGAAGGTCGTATTTACTTCCACTTACTGTTTTAAATACATGTTTAATGAAATAAACGGTAAAATGTCCAGTTTTGTGTATTATATGTACATTCAATTTTTAAATAGCAAATGAGGGCATGATTATTGTACAGTACCATGACTGATTTAATTTGATGTACAGAACAGAATGTGTTCTTAAGGATAAAACTATTTAATGACACTTAGTCTCATGTTTTGATCTTTTATTTCTGAAACACTCAAACACCTTACACAATGCTAAGGTGATCGTGATCCACCTTGTTTGCTAAATGAATATTTGTTTAAATCTGTACAGTTTCAACTGTTTACTTATACAAAGAGTGTATATACTTTCAAATAATTAATTTAAAATGCTTTATATTATTTGGCTAGAAATTGCTGTTTTTAATAAATGTGAATTTTTTAAAAATAAATAATTTTTGCTTCCTACTTTGTCTTAACGTGTCTGGTATGCATGTGATTCTTTTTTGGGGGGGCATAGGGTGGGAAAATAACTTTATTTCCTGGGGAGTAGGCAGGCGTCCAGGCTCAGAACTTCTGGAACTGCTTCTTGGTGTCAGCGGCCTTGGTGATCTTGAGCATGATGAAGTGCATGGTCTTGCTCAGGGGCTGGCACTCGCCCACCGCGATGATGTCGCCAATCTGGACGTTCCTGAAGCAGGGGAACAGGTGCACAGACATAGTCTTGTGCTTCTTGAAGCGATTGTACTCGGGGATGTAGTGGAGGTAGTCCCGGCGGATGATGGTGGTTCTCTGCATCTTCATCTTAGTCACCACACCAGATAGGATCTGTCCTTGAATGGACACATTACCAGTGATGGGGCATTTCTTGTCAATATAAGTACCCTCGATGGCCTCTTTGGGAGTCTTGAAGTCCAGACCAATGTTCTTGTGGTATCTTGGAAGCTTCTCCTTGCCAGTTTCTCCCAGCAGGACCCTCTTCTCGTTTTGGAAGATGATTAGCTTCTTTTGGTAAGCATGTTCCATCTGAATATTTGCCATCTTCCTGGCTGCCTCTGCATGTGCATTCTTTAAAAAAAAAATATTTTTTTTTAAGAGAGATTTTTGCTATAGGGCACATGTGCTCACTGGAGAGACAGAGAGAAAGTGACAACTTACCCCTCAGAGGGAATGGCCATGCCTCAATCCCTTCTCCTCCATTCTCCTCTTGGGGTCGTCAGCATGCATGCATGCACTCACCAGAAAGAGAGAGACAGAGAGACAGAAAGCGAGAAATCACCCCCCGGAAGGATGGCCATGCCTCAATCCCTTCTCTTCCATTCTCCTCCATAGGATCTTGGGCACGCATGCACATGCGCCTGGCGTGAGTTTAAGCCACCAGATCCAGGACTAGAACCGCTGTCGACTATATCGGAGTCCAGCGACATAGCCATTATGCTAACTGCTGGTCCCCTGGGCATGAGTTTTAAGCCACCAGGTCTGGGACTCAAACTGCTATCCACTATATAGGAGTCCAGCAATGTAACTGCTATGCCATTTGCTGGTCTCAGAAAAATTTTTAGTTGAAATATTTATTGTGACAACTTGTAGATTCATATGCAGTTGTACAAAATAATACAGAGAGATCCAGTTTATCCTTTACCCAACGGTAACATTTTGTAAAACTATAGTATGTTATCACCAGGATTTTGGCATTGATACACTCCACCAATGTTACTCGGTCTCCCCAGTTTTACTTGTACTGTGTGAATTCCTTTGGCAAGATAATTACTGTGGAAAGACATTTTTGAAGCATCTTAATGCTCCATTAGTTAAGGCAATTTAATTTTTTCTTTGTTTGCAAAACTGCCAATTTCCTGAGTACTGTTAGCAAAGATAATTGTATTGAAATTTAGAATTATTATAATAGCTATAAAAACAAATGTGTACTTCTCCCCTGGTTTAACAGCTCCGATCTCTAAATTCTCTTCTGCTATTACCTTCTAACTATGACAGAATAGTCAACCTTAGTTTTTAAAATGGGACCAATAAAGTAACCTGGGGACATTGATGAGACATGGAAAGAGCAACGTTCTTCCTTCCTTTCTGGAGCACTTTTCTACTGTGGTTGCTCTTTTACTGTTACCGGCTTGTCTGTCTTTGTTCCTCAGCACCGAGCCCTGCAAAATGGAAGCACCTGCTGGAAATCTGTGATCACCTCGTTTATTTAAGTAATCATCCAGTACATGCATATTTTCCCTATTAAAAGTAAAAGTTTTCTTACACATTTTTTCTAGTTATACAAACATGCTCATTATTAGACATTTCTAGAGAGTTTGAATTTTAATGTAAAATGTGTATGTCTCATAAATAAGCTCTTGAAGCTCACTAAATACTAAAGTCCAGCATATAACTTCCAGATTTTTTTCCATGTATAGTCAAAATAATTTTTCTTACAAGAGTGGGCTGTCTTATACATTTAAAAGAAATATAAGAAAATGTGTCTTATTCATGAACAAAAGATGGGCACGTGCAAGAGAGAAGAACCCTTGAGGGTCATGCCATGCTAGGATGGCCTTTCTCCAGCTCTCTGGCTTGTCAGGCTTTTAGGTGTCTGTGCGTGGCTTCTGATGTGTATTCGGGCCAATCTGCAGATCGGAATCCATGGCTGGCCATGTGGCTTGCAGCACTAGAGTCCAGGTTGCTACCAACTGTGCCACCCTGCTGGGTCTCATACACATTTTAATGAAACAAATAGATTTTAATAATCAGTGTACACAAACATACATACAGATTCTTTTGCACAACTATCTGAAAGCAAGTTGCAGGTATCATGACATTTTACTCCTCAGTTTTACCCCTAATTATGTCAAGCATCTATATCCAAAGAGTAAAGATGTTCTCTTATATAAAACCACACCTAAAAATAAATTTAATAATATTTAATATGTGGTCCATAGTTCAGTTTCCTTGGTTGTCCCTCAAATTGTCTCATCCCTTTTTCCCCACGTTCATACATTTGACTTGGTTATCATGTTTCTTCAGTACATTTTAATTTTAGATGGTGACTTTTATAATCTTTGGTAGTTTTCATGACAATGACTTTGTTTTTATTTTTTTATTTCAATTTATTTGCATTCATTCACTGTACATCATTACAACATACAAAATGAGATTTTCCATCCAGAGTACACTGCATATTGTCTCAATCAAGCACATCAACAAACATGTTATTGTCGCAAATAATTTTCCATTTCTTGTTTTCTGCATGTTTTGCTTTTTTTCCCCCCATCCTTGATTCCCTATCTCTTACACTCTGCCATCTCCCACTCTCCTCCCACACTGTTTCTGGTATCTGTGTTTGCTTTCTAAACTGTTTTCCCCCCACATTTTATTGAATTACTAAAGACCTTAATTAATCTAAATATTTTCATAGCAAACACAAGTGATATATACATTTCCATGAACACAAGTCTAACTTTACACATCCTATAAAGTAGCACCTAGCTGGGGCTATATATCTTACTGCAGTCATTGAATATTTTTTTTGCCTGAAACTTTTTTTTTTGTAACTTAATTTATATTCTTTC